AATATGCTGATGACGAGGATGCGGTGCAGGAGGAAGGCTTGCACGTTGGTTGGCAACCCGTCGGCGTGACACACTCATCTCAAGCACCGTGTTGCACCATAATCGTGAAACGTACATCATGAATGATACCGGAGAAAAAAAACCCAATCAGAATTTGTTTGGAGCTATAGGGCTATAGGGCTATTGGGCTATAGGGCTACAAGGCTATTGTAGGGCTATAGGGCGATACTGATATAGGGCTATAAGGCTATAGGGCTGCAGAGCACCGGGCACCCGGGCACCCAGCACCCGGCACCCGGGCACCCACCCGGGCACCAGGCACCCGTCACCCGGGCACCCGGGCACCCGGGCATCCGGGCACCCAGACCCGTCCACCGAATCGGCGGCGAACCCGGGCACCCGGGCACCCAGGCACCCGGGCCCGGCCACCAAATCGGCGGCATACCTCACCTACCCTTACATCCGCTGAGACCCCTACAGAGGCAAGCTCTGCTTGGGGAATAAAGAAAAAAAGCGCCGTTAGCGAAATGGTTGCAACATCGCAAATTCCAAGGCATTTGTTTAAGACCGCCACGGCCCCCCCCCCCATCTTCCTCCATGTGCCAGAGAAGGAGGGAGGAGGGAGGGAGGGCGAAAGGAATGAGGGAGGAGGGGGGAGGAGGGAAGAGGAGGGACGAGGAGGGGGGAGGGAGGAATAGGAAGGGCTAAGACAAACGCCATAGAACGAAACTGCGCTACTGTGAACTTTCTGAGGTCCGCGAATATTTCTTGGGTTGGCGCCGGGGGCGGCGCTGGAGACTCCGTCGAGGGTTCCAACGACGATCCAAAAGATGCGCGCAGACTTCCGAGCATGTATGCTTATGTGTTTTGTTTTTCTTCGATCCTTACACCCTGCGAAATGCTTAAGAAATCATGGGTTAAGAAATTCATAGTCTCAGAAATTGAATAAAACCCAGAACTTCTATCAAAATCTTGGGATTTACATTGAAACGTTAAGAATAATCGAGACTCTGGCCGAAAACTTAGGTTTTCTTAAGCATCGCATAAGGTGTACCCCTCCTTCGGTCCCCTTCTGCTCCTTGCGTCTGCGCTCGCCTCTCCTCTTCCTCTCCCCTCCCTCCCCGCCTCTTCCTCTCTCCTCCCCTCCCCCTCCCGCTGCGGAGGACGAGAAGGGGGCGAGACAGAAAATGGGGGCTCCTCCCCGAACATACGCTCCAAAGTGCCCATGGCCCCGTTTGAATGTGCGCGGGGCTCCTGGCTTTCGGTCTGGCCTGAAGCCTCTCCTCGCCCCCCCTCCCTTCCTGCGATGCGGGACCCGCGGAACAATCACGTGTCAACCCACGGGACAACCGCGAATCAACAAGGGGCCAACCCGCAAAACACCCCACGGGACAACTGCGGAACAAATCGCAGGACAGCTACGGAAGAGCCCACAGTACAACCAACGGAACAACCTCGCGCACCACCACGAGACGGGAGCTGAATGTTTCTGCCCGATATGGCCGTAACGTTGGCCGACACACCATCGCCCTCGCGCAGCTTCGCCTCGCCCGCACGCGGGACACGAACCGAAACATATTTCACTGTTGTGGTCGCTTCAGAACCACCCCCCAACTCCGAGTAAGAAACGCCTCCTCCCCCACGCGACCAGCCGCCAACCAGCAACCATGACCCCCCACCATCACTGTCAAACAACATAACAACGTGCACTATGCTGCCAGATACGGATCCTGAACGGGCGCCCCGCGATCACTTAGTAGGGATGTTGTCGGGGGTAGCCGGGTGGATCATGTTGGTCCGCCGTGCGCTGGCCAATTTGCCTCATCACAAACTAATGCAACTCATTGCGGGTGCACGTGCCGTACACCATGCTGTCCACCCCGCTCCCCGCTTTCACTCCGCATTTGCTATTGGCAAACAATGGTGCGGCGGGTGTCGGCATATTGCCCAGTGTGTGCTGTCAGGAACTCCTGTCGCACGTGGATCACGCCGGGCATCTGGCGCGCCAAGTGCGCCTAGCACGCCTGGGCCCCTGGGGCATCTGGTGCTCCTGGTGCACACGGGCGCACTGGGCAGTGGACGTCGCGCACCTAGCGTCTGTATAGGTTCCCGACGGCTGTCAACTCTCAGGCGGCCCTTGCCCCTGCCGAGTCCAGCGTGCTACTTCTATGTTGTAAAGGCGGGCGGGAATGCAACTTGAGGGGTTCACGTTCGGAACTTGACCCCTCACCCTCCCCCCTTCCCCTTCAAATGGTCTGAGATGTTTGAGGGTCCCTTTTGGCCCAAGATGGGTCCAAGAAGCGCCTCGGGTAACGCAATATTACCTCCAAAGAGACACGAGATCTCCCAGGATGACTCAAGGTGAGAGAAGCAAAAGTACGGCAAAAACATGAACTTTCGGAGGTCCGTGCGGATTTCTTGGATCGGCGCTGGACCGGGCCGGCGCCAGCGGCGCCGCCAGGGGGGCCCAACGCCGATCCCAAAGATCCGTCCGGAATTCCGACCAATCATGTCTATGCCGTCAGCACGTTTCCGTAGCCAATCCTGGCCCCAGCCATGGCTCAAGGCTTGGGTTCCGCCTGAGTCTTTCAAGACTCTGGGGGGCGAAATCAGGCCTGCATGCGTACGGCGGGCGTGTGGGGTCGTTGTGCGTGCGTGCGAAGTGTACGTTGGTGTCCTGCACCAATGCTTTCGAGCATACCTGACTGAGTCTAGACTGGTCGTTTTAGGTATCTGGTCGTTTTGGGCATGCCTAAGAGCGGTGTGGTAGTCTTAGAGAATCAGAGGGAGACCAACTCGAAACCCCCGTTCGCAATAAACACCGGGCGGCGACTGGAGTCAGAGCCCTCCAGCTGCGCGCAACCGCTGCCTGTTGTGGGCAGCGCCAGCCGCAAACACTCAGCCGTGGAGGGGCACCTAATCCACCCCGATAATAACAGCCCCGACACGCGAAGTCGTTTAGTAAACGCGCCCACAGAAGGAATCGAACAGGGCAAGGCTGTTTAGTAAACGGCCACGGCCGTTTAGTAAACGCCAACTGTCCGGTCCGGGTGGCTTTTCCTCCCTTGACAGAACTTCTATCCGGCAGCGCCAGGCGGGACGCGCCGGACGCGGGGCGCGGGAGCGGGCGGAGGAGAGGAGGGCGGCCGCGCAGGAGGAGGCGGGAGGGGCCCAGACGCCGAGAGTCGGCGAGTGAGCGGTGCGCCGGCGGCCTCGGGCACCGAGGGCGGAGTGCAGCGGGAAGTTGAGCAGCACGGGAAGCAAGCCGTGGAGGAAGCACAACTTGAAACGTCTCGCGGTGGTCACGTGCTCGGGAGTGCAGGGCTCAGATGATTATGTGGAGGACTACCCAGTGATCTGTTCGAGAGGTGTGTTCGCTGCGATTCCGATCGCGTCGCATTCCACCCCTGTGGACTTCATCTTCCAGCTGTGTTCGGCAACGCCGGCGGCCACTTGGACTCAGTACACCTGCCGTGCCTTCACCAAAAATGAGGCTGGCCACGGAGCCGCCCCGTAGCAGAACGTATGACTCGGACCTCTGGTGAATCATCAGGTGTTCGTTCCCACTGCAGTGGCCTGGGCTCCTCTTCGAGGGTCCGTCCGCCCAGGTGGGGCCACACGCCTCTCGCTCCCCTCCCCCCCCCGCCCTCTCCCCGTCCTTCCTTTCTCCTTCTCCTCTCCTCTGCGGGGCGGTTCCCTGCTCTCTCAGTGTGCCTGCGGCCCCTTTTGGGGGATGAGGCTAGCCGTGGCATGCTGCTAATCTCTGACTGGCAAGATGCCGTCGGAGACTCCTCCGGAAGGGCCCAGCGCCCGTGAGAGAAGCATGGTGAGCACGTATTCGCGACGACACCACCGTCCGCCGCCGCCGCCGCCGCCAAGAGGCTCCAATATTGACCCAAGACGGCTGCAAGCGGACACGAAGCCTCCCAAGGGTATCACCGCGACGGAAACGTACTTCAATTATCGTAGATGTTCAACTGATTCGTCAACTGATTTTGGCTTCTCGCCTTTTCGCTCCCGATGGGCCTCTGAGGCCGTCAGATGGCTCTGAGATGGTCCCCTCGCAACTCCACATTGTTATCCTATCTCCTGTTTGTCTGTTTGGACAGTGACCTTGGCTTGCATCCCCTGCTGGTCGTCTAGTGCCCAGCTTTGACTTCAGAGAACTCTTGTTGTGGGTGTGGATGCCTTTCGTGTTCCTTCCTCTCTCCATCTCGTTTGCCTATCTCCATTGCTCTCCCTCTTTCGGTCGCCTCATCCCTCCTTCCCCCGCTCCCCTCCTCCCTCGTTCTTTTTCCGTTGGCCCATCCCCTCCTCCTTTCGAAGGGCCTCCCCTGGGGAATACGACCGATGTGTTCGACGATGGGCGTGACGCCAGGAGGTGGCGGCGGTACCGGCGTGACTCTCCTCCTGTGGACTTCCCACTCTTTTCCTGCGCTGTTCGCCTTGGGATGGGGGAGGCGAGAACCAGGGCCACAGCCACCGTAGATAGGCTGGGCAGCGGGCTTGGAGCATCAGCCACCGCAGGGCGATATCACCCGACCGCACCGGAGGCCACCATAAGGCTTCCACGGACGACCAGACCGGGTGCGGGGGCGGGAGGCAGGGGCTTCATGTGCGGGACGGGGTGGGCACGGAAGGGCACCATACGCCTTTCCAACCTCACAAAGCTCAGGCACCATAAGCCTGCCCCACACCAAAGGGTGGGCACCAGATGCCTTCCCGCATCCATGGGTACTTGGAGCCATAAACATCACCCCGTGTACGATTCCAATGGGTCCTGTACTCAATAACATCCTCCCTCCCTCCATGCCGGCCCGTCCTCCCCCTTCTTGGAGCAAGGCGAATTGAAGCAACGGCAAATCGAAACCGGTCCCCAAACCGCTCACGGAATCCAATCGCATTCATTTTCTGAGCTACGTCCAGTCGAGGGGCGATGCTGACTCCCCCCGCATGCCAACTGCTGTTGTCTCAACTCGCCCTCCTCTGACCCTCGGCTCCTGCATCTGGTAAGGCGGCGCTGGCTGCGGTGGATTCGAGGGCTGCGGCAAGACCATGTACGGCGGCACGTGCGGCGGCAAATGGATGGGAGCGGCACCTCTGCGCGGCCGCGCTGTGTCGTCACTGCAGTGTCGTCGTCCTCTTCCGCCTGCTGATGCCTTTGCTCCTCCTCCTCCTCCTCCTCCTCCTCCTCCTATTCCTCCTGGAGCATCGAGGAGGAGAAGGAGGATGGAGGATCGAGGAAGAGGAGGAGGACGGCTGTAAACCCAAGACGCATCAAGGAGGTTGCAATGATCCCTCCCTCCAATGTCTCTATTGATACTTAGCTGCCCTCAAAGACTGAACTTCACTGAGGGGAATGATACCTTGGCAAAAAAAAAAACGTCTGAAAATTCGGAACCGTGCCAAATCAATATTCCTGGGACTCGAACGCCGTGAATTAACGTTGCTGTTGCGTCCTGACGATCCAGAATCGTGCCAGAATGCCAATCCTGAGACTTCAACACAGCGAATCAGCCCTGACAGTCCTACATCGTGACAATACACCGCAACTGGGACGTCAACCATGAGAACCCTTGGAACTGTTGCAAGCTCTTAAGACGAATGTGCGCGGCGGTAAAGCGAGAACAACACATTGTAAAATAACCACCCTCCATTCGTGAAAACCAGGCACACTTTTCAGACGAATGTGCGCGGCGCTGAAGCGATAACCACATTTTGAAAACGGCCCGCCCTCCATCTACGAAACTCTGGCAACAACTCTTAAAACGAGTGTGCGCGGCACTAATGCGAGAACCACATTTTGAAAACAACCCGCCCTCCATCCGTGAAGCTGCTGCACATGTTAAACGGAAGGATCATAAATGGTGAGGAAGTTGCGAACATAAGATTTCCGAGATCAGACTTTCGAGATCTCTGGCGAAACGCCTAGCCCGCCCTACCGACACGTCTCGGGGTGCGACAGGGAAGAGTTATTTACAAGGGAAAGGGTTTGAGGATCGATGACCAAGTATCGATGAAGATCAGCTCCAAGGAGGAGGAGGAGGAGGAGGAGGAGGAGGAGGAAAAGCAGGAGGAGGAGGAGGATCGAGAAGGAGGAGGATCGAGTATCGAAGAGAAGGAGGAGGAGAATCAATGCACGCGCTCTCCTGGCTCGGCCAGAGAAGCATGTTGCGCCGGCCCTGGGCCCAGCATGGGCCCAGGGCCAGGACGGGTGAGTCGTCGCCGTCGTCGTCGTCGCCGTTGCCGTCGTCGTCGCCGTGGTCGTGATCGCCGTGGTCGTGATCGTCGTCGCCGCCGTCGTCGTCGTCGTCGTCGTCGTCGTCGTCGTCGTCGTCGTCGTCGTCGTCGTAATCGTCGTCGGCGTCCTCGTCGTCGTCGTGTGGATGACTCCCATCGTCGTCGCCTCGCCCTGTGGACCTGCCCGCGCCTTTCTCCATCCGCCCGGGCACCTTCCAGCTCGACTCGGGGCGGCTGCCTAGTGCTGAGACGAAGCTGGGACGAGGGTAAAATCGGGTGAGGATAAATCGAGAATCTCTGAGATCTGGCGGCTCTGGAGGATGTCTCGGGCGCCGCGCCCGTCTCAGAGCTTTCCGGAACGCCCTGAGAACGTTCCAAAACGCTCTGAAACGGATTTTACCCTCGTCCTAGCCCCTTCCGACATGCCCCAACTCTCCACCACAACTTCGAAGCTATGCGCGTATTTCCGAGTCGCCGGATTCCCATGGGAAGGCGTCAGAACCAAGGAAAAAGGAACGCTAGGGGGGGGACCAGCTCACGCGTGAAACATCGAGCTGGCATCGGCGACACAGCGTCGGTATGCCCCCACTAGGGAATCTGCGCGCTTCTGGGCGGGGTGGGCTATCGGGCCCCTATCGGCGATGCATGGGCGATCGGGGGTCGATGCATCTCCCCCTGAGCCTAACCGCCCCCCCTCATGTTGCCCCTGAGACCAGAAGCACAGATTCTACACAGGCCTCCAGAGATTCGTATCACGAATCACGGCGGCGAAAGAGACTGGCCCCACCGCCATGCCTGTCCGGAGCGACCGAATTTGATCTTCAGAATTGTAGTTGTGACCCGCAATCTAATTATCTCTTCGCCATGCCGTTTCTCTCACGTGGCGACGAGGGCCCAGCCGTGGTGAAGGCGGGGGGAGGGGGGAAACCCCGTAGCCACTTTCCCGACAAAAGGAAGGTCATGTCTGGCGGCGTTTCCGGGCCACAGCTGCCCAGATGCTGCCGCGGGTATCCGAACACCAGAGGGTCGTCGGATATCCACTAGAACATTGGCTCTGCCAGTGGTGGGACGCATAATGACATACCAGTACTGCGGTATGTGCCTCTGGTGGACACGCACGTCCGACCTGAACATGTAGTACAACATCTTCTAGTGTATCGTCTCCACAACGGTATGGCCAGCAAGCGCCCGCCATGAAGCTGATACTATAAGATTTCCGAAAGTGCGAGTCGCCTCTGCGTAGCCGACGCGCATATAGTAGAGTATGTGTGGGTGGTGCCGGAATACAGAGCCCCTGAAGGACGTACGCGCCCAGCCACGTACATGAATATGCCCCCTTGAAACTAGCGAGAACGCCCTCTTGTCACGCGCTCTCGCGTAGTGCGCTCTCTCGGAACCGTTGTGAATGCATGTGCGCGTGCGTCTTTGTGTCGCTCCTGACCCATGTCATCTCCCATGGGTAACTTCGGGTGTGGCGCATCCCTTTCTCGCAGGGGCTCGGGGCGCGCGGCGGCCTGATATTCTGGCAGAGTGCGCGGGCGATGCTGCGCGCGCGAAGACTCTGAGGCCCTTCGGGGTCCATGTTCGGGCGTGGACAGAACACCCTTGTGTGTACCCTCTAGTCGCTACACGTGAGAGTGACCCTTGGCAAGAGTGACCCTTGGTGCGCGACTTTCGGGGGCCGCGGGAAGGCCGAAACGGAGCGCGCAAGCCGCTGCTTTCGCATCGCCTGCAGCCATCTGGGGGCCCCAATTTGCCCGCACCAAAGGTCACTCCGGCGAAAAGTCACTCTTACGTGTAGTCGATCTGATGGTAACGACCCGGGGCCAGACCCGGCGGGCGCAAGCCCGCATCATTGCGGCCCCAACACACTCTCGAGCACAGGCAAAAAAAAACAACTCGCCAACCATCCTGGCAAGACGCGGGTCCTATCAACCTCCGGACTTGTGCATTACAGGCAGAGCTGACTGCACAAGCCACGCGACAGGACACAGGACTCTTCCGCTGGCAGCGTGGCCTCCAAAACAAGACACCATGGCACCCTTGCCCCGGGACTGCAGAGGACACGACGAGCGATGCACAGGACACAATGAGCACCCCTCGGGGCGGCGGCCCAGCAAGCCGCGTCGGCGGCTCGAGGAGTGGTGTGTGCTCGCAGGCCTCCGCTGCTCCCTCTTGTGGGGCCTCTTGGGGGCCTCTTGGGGGCCCTCTGGGGCCCTCGTGGGGCCTCCTCCTCCTCCTCCTCCTCCTCCTCGACTTGGCAGGCTCGACCTACTAATCCGGGCCGACTGCATGAGACCCCGTGCCACAACGGGCCTCCGAGCCGGTCGCGCCCGAAATTCTGGCAAACGTGGCGGGGGCCTCCGGACTTCGGAGGCTGGCATCTGAGGGCACCGTGACCGCCGCCGCGCGTGATTCTGCAGGTTGTTATTGACAGAGGCGCTGGTCTTCCGAGTGTCGAAAACTGGGCTTCCGAGGACTCTCGATCGTCGCCGCACTTCGTCCGCACCACGACTTTCGACAAGGGTGGTGAACCTCTGGATTTCGGAAACCGTCCTTCGAAGACCTCGCCGCATGCCGACCATGTTCGTCTTCGGCACGCCCGAAACGGACACAGACAAAATTGGCACGATGCCCAACAGCACAACTTGTCCCAAACCAGCGCAAGCCACAACGTTTCTTTTTCGACGTTCCGACATTGGGCGGAAGGGGCGGTGGAGGGGGCTGTCTGGCTCCGGACCTCTGCTTAATGCGACTGTTTGCAACAGTGCGTCCGATGGGGGAGACTCCACCTGTCTGAAACAGGCACCAAAAACAACCAAGATCTACTCCATAGGGGGGGAGGGGGTGCGAGGGCCCGCGCCCATCGGCAAGACAAGTATCTAAAAAACGATCACAGTAGGCACCTTTTTGCTTCGAGTGGACAACGTTCGCGACACCGACAGCGTCTCTGGATCAACATTGACAGACGTTGCTGTCGGTCGTCGTCCCAATTCATTCCGCCAACGTTTCGATCATACCGACTTCTATTTTTTGAATCCGTGGGGATGGCGAGCCTCCCGGCTCTAGAATAAGCAAACAAAACGGCACAAACAGAAACTTTCGGAGCATCGAGAGTTTATGTTTATGCATTATATAATTTTCGATTCTTGATCGCCGCCGCGTGGCACCCGCTCTCTTCGGTCTCCGGACCCCTCACCGAGTCCAAACGCACCAATTTTCCGAGCTGCGTCCAATCGGCGACGAGGGGCCCCCCGAAAGCCACCTGCTATTGTCTCAACTCGCCTCCTGTCGTTGCGCTCTGGTTTTCTAGCCATTGCTTGGCTCTACAGCGACCGCTCGGGCACCCCCGGAACGCCCTCGGCGAGGCGCAGCCGCTGGAAGGCACCCCGAGGCTAGGAAAACGCCGAGAACCACGGAACACGCCCGAAAACCTCGAACCCCCTCCTCCTCCTCCTCCTCCTCCTCCTCCTCTTCCTCCTCCTCATCATCATCATCATCATCCTCTTCCTCCTCTTCCTCCTCCTCCTCTTCCTCCTCTTCCTCCTCTTCCTCCTCTTCCTCCTCTTCCTCCTCCTCCCTCTTCTCCCCCTTCTCTTCCTCCTCCTCCTCCTCCTCCTCCTCCCTTTTCTTCTTCTCCTTCTACTCCTCCTCCTCCTCCTCCTCCTCCTCCTCCAGACAGGGTTGGGTGCGAGCGGGGCTTGAGTAGCGGGGAAGGAGTAGCGAGAGGGGAGGGATCAGGGAGAGCAGGGATGCAAGTTTCCTTTCCTCTCCGCCCTCCCGCTCCTTAACTCGGGCCGCAAGCGGCCGTTTGGGACGATTCGGGCATCCCCCGAACGCTGTCGATGAGGCGCAGCCGATGGAAATCGGCCCAGGCCCCCGGGCCCCGAAAACCTCGGAGAACTCCCGAATTCGTTCAGACCCCCTCCCCCCCCCCGTTCCTCTGCACCTCCCCCTCCCGCTCCCTGCCTGCCCGAGCAGCACGCGAGACTTGCCCGATGCCGCTGCGTATTCCCTCGTCTCCCGGTCGCCCCGCGGGCCGAGGCGCCTCGCGAGCCCATGACCACAGGCGCCGGCTGGTGGTAGCCCATGCAGGGGTTCCACTGCGCAGGCGGAGCGGAGGAGGGAAGGGACGAGGGGAGAGGAGGATGAGAGGAGGATGGAGGAAAGCGGAGTGAGGCGAAAGGAGGCGGGGGGAGGAGGTGAGGAGGATGAGGCTGACGAGTGAAGTAGAACGAGAAGGAACCGAAGCAAGATTACACTGCACGGGGCGAAGCGCGCGCCGTTTCCCGCCGCAACACCCAGCCGAACTCTCCCCTCCTCCTCCTCCTCCTCCTCCTCCTCCTCCTCCTCCTCCTCCTCCTCCTACTCGTCCTCCTCCTCCTCCTCCTCCTCATCCTCCATCCTCCATCCTCCATCCTCCATCCTCCATGCTCCATGCTCCATGCTCCATGCTCCATGCTCCATGCTCCATGATCCATGCTCCATGCTCCATGCTCCATGCTCCATGCTCCGTCGTCCGTCCTCGTCCTCGTCCTCGTCCTCGTCCTCGTCCTCGTCCTCGTCCTCGTCCTCGTCCTCCTCCTTGTCCTCCTCCTCCTCCTCCTCCTCCTCCTCCTCCTCCTCCTCGTCATCATCATCATCACCATCCCCACGATCCCCCTCCGTCTCCTCCGTCCCCCGTCCTCTCTAACATTTCCCCTCTCACCTCCTCCATATCCCTGTCGATCCTTCTCTTCCGCCTCCGTGCTTGTCCCCCCTTCTAGCCCCTCCTGCCCATCCCTCCACCCTCCTGCTCGCTCCTCCACCATCCTGCATTCGGGGGCGGGGGGGGGCGCAAGAGTGGGGTTCAGGCCAGAGGCGAGGGTGGAGTAACATCGCCCTGGACGCTCCCTGGCACTGTCAGCCTGGAGCGGGGCTCTCTCCTTAACCCCTTCCTGGGCTAACTGGCTAACCACCCCTCTGTTTGCCCTCGATCCCTCTCCACCGCCATCCATCCTCCCTCCCTCCTCAAGGGCGAACGGCAGGGGGAGGCTGGCTCGGGGGGGGGGGAACATTTACTTGGAATCGGCAATGCATCGCCGATGCACCTGCGATAGGCCCCTGATAGCTACCCCGCACGGTCCTGGGCGGAGGTGGCCCCTGTCGGCGATCAATGGGCGATCGCGGGTCGATACGTCCCCCCTCCGAACCTATCCCCACTCACGTTGCCCCGCTGGTTTTCGGATCATGACTCGCTTCTCTTGCCGCCGTTGGGGTCGACCGGGACCTCCCCCGGAACGCTCTCGGCGAGGCGCAGCCGCTGGAGAACACCCTGAGGCTGGAGAACGGCCGAAAGCCGACGGAAACGGACGAAAACGTTCGGAACTCTATCCCTCCCCCCGAGCCTTCTCCCTTCCTAGCGTTGCCCCTGCTTCCTCCCTTCCTCCTCGCCGCCCCCTCCCCGACGCAAGAGGCCTTCTGTCGAGGATGCATCGGCGACGTATCGGCGACGTCGGCGTGGAGAAAGTCGGGCTCCACATCGAGCCGCATCGGCGATACGGCGCGATCCTCCGACCCCCTCTGCTCGGACCCCGTCTGGGAGGCCTGGACGGTCGGTCCTCGAGCCTCGATCGATCCTCCGACCGCAGGGCCTGCCGCGCGCCCCCCCTCTGCCCGCCTGCGGCCCCGTGCCGAGGAGGTGGCCGCCGTAGGGGGGCGCGCCCAGCGTGCCCAGGGGCATGGCGGCCTCCATCGTGGGCATCATCTGCGGGGGCCGGGCATCTCCGCGCTCGCCCCAGGTCGCGAAGGGGGGCCAGGGGAGGGAGCGAGATGCCCGAGCACAACCGGCTCCCATCCTTCCTGTCCGTACGTGCCTGCCGGAGCTTGGCTTGGCGCTTGCACACAGGGAGAAAGAGCTCCTCCCGCACCCCATCTTCCGACTCCTCTCCCCTCCTCCCTCCTCCACCCGTTCATCCAATTCCTCCCTCCTCCGTTTTCCATCCCTCCCGCGTGCGCGTCGTCTTTCCCCCTCCTCCCTCCTATCTCCTCATCTCTCTGCTGTTCCATGACGTAACCCGAACATGTGCTACAACGTGTTAAGAACAGCGTCGAGCAATTGAGATGACGCAAACAGAAAACCAAACGTCCAACGCAAAGTGAGATGGACGGCGGAAAGGTGAATCGTTCGTCACGGTCCTGCTGGAAGAGACTGGCGGGGGCGTCCATGTTCAAACAAATACGCTGTCCCCCGCCGGTATAAGCTTGGTGGCGTAACGTGTCCTCATATCCCCCGCATCCAACGGCTCTCGATCCTCGATCCTCCCTCCTCCTCCTCCTCCTCCTCCTCCTCCTCCTCCTCCTCGATCCTCGATGCTCCTCCTCCAGCGGCCCCCTCCTCCTGCCCCCACGCCTCCCGCCTTCTTGTTTTGTCGTCGTCCTCGTCTTCCTGTTAATTCGATCCCTCTCGGTCCCTCCCTCCTCCCTTCTCCCGCCTCGACCCCTTCCGAATATCCCCCTCCTTCCCGTCACCTCCCTACTCCCCCATCCCGCCTCGCCCCTTCCCCCCTCCCTCCTATCTGCTCCACCTTCCCTCTTCCTCATGACCCCCAAACTCCCTCCCTAAGTATCCTCCTCCTCCTCCTTCTCCTCCTTTTCCTCCTTCTCCTCCTCCTCCTCCTCCTCCTCCTCCTCCTCCTCCTCCTCTCACCTCTTTCCTCATCCTCCCTCCTCCCTTCTCTCCTCTCCTCCCTCGTTACTTCCCCCCCTGCTCCTCCTCCTCTTCCTCCTCTTCTACTTCTTCTTCTTCTTCTTCTTCTTCTTTCGCCTCCTCCTCCTCCTCCTCCCTGCCAGCCTCCATCTCCGTATCCACCACTCTCCTCCTGTTCTCCTTCCATCCTACCTTTTTGTTATGCTATGCCACCCTCTCTCTTCCTCTTGGTTCTCCCTCTCTGGTTCTTTCTCTGGTAATTTCTTAATTTCATTTTTTTTTTCTCTCTATCTCTCTCTCTCTCTTTCTCGCACTGTCTGTCTGTCTGTCTGTCTGTCTGTCTGTCTGTCTGTCTGTCTGTCTGTCTGTCTGTCTGTCTGTCTGTCTCTCTCTCTTTCTTTTGTTCCTCTTTCTTTCTTTCTTTCTCTCTCTCTCTCTCGCTGTCTCTTGCTATTTCTATATATATATATATAGTTCTCTGACTCGGCATCGTTCGCCTTTTTGTTTCTTTCACCATCTCTCTCTCTCTCTCTTTTTTCCCTCTCTCTCTCTTGTTCTCGTTCAGCTCCCCACTCGGCTCCCAACGTCCCTCTGGAGACGGGGAACCTGCATAAGCGCAAGCCCTCGCGGGTCCGCGCGGCTCTCCCGGGTCGGCACTGGGCCCCCCGCCGGCGGCGCGCGACACGCGCCGCCGGAGGGGCGCAGACCACCATGGGAGGGGGGGAGGGGCCAAGCGCCGACCCAAGAGATCCGCGCGGACCTCTGGACTACAGTGCTCGTGCAGAAGCTTCTTCTTGGACTCTCCCCTCTCCCCGACCGTTCTCACCCCAAGCTCCCGTCGGTCGGAAGAAGCAGATCGAGCCATGAAGTAGGAGGGCGTTGGAAGCAGATTGCACCTCCGCCCGCCCCCTGAAGAGGAGGGAAGAGGGACAACCGCTCGACTCTTGAAGTAGGAAGGCGCCCAAAATAGATTAGGGTTTAGGGCATCCGAAAACACCTACTTTCAAAGACTGGCGTGTAAGCTGCTAACATGCTCCCATACCGAAAGACCCGCGGGTGGGCCCGTATCGAACAGGCTGCCAGCAGACTCCCCTATGCGACTCGCCTGGGCAGAGTTGCGGGATGGGCCGGAGGGGATACGTGAAGCGTCAAGGCTTTCTTCTTCGGCCCCTCCCTATCTGGCCGTCCTCGTTCCATCTCCTCCCCTTCTTCGAGCGGAGAGGCACCTTGCCATCGCTCGGACGTCCACTCCCCGTGTAGTGTTTGCTTTTGCGCGTGCTCTTTCCTAAAGAAGATGGTCCAGGATGCTCCAAGGTGGGCCAGATTTTCTGGCGCCGGACTCGCCAAGAAAAAATGCACACGTCCAGGCGATGCCAAGGGTACAGATCTGTGTCGCCACCCCCTCACCCTCTGTCACTGTCCTTCGGTCATGGCGACAAGGGCTAACAACGCCCCCCTCCTCCTCTCCCTGTGTCAGCGCTAGCCTGGGTCAACCCAGGCCATGTCGCGAACCCAAGCTGGTCGCAGTAGGAGCTCCCAAACTTGGGTCAGCAGAGGGAAGTAGGGGGGGGGCAGTTCCGCATGGCTCCCGAACCTACGCCAGCCAGAGGGGATGGCTGGCCCCTGTTAGCGCTGACCCCCGACGTATACGCGTGCATGAGGGACATGGGTCCTGAAGGAAATATGTCCTGGACCCCAGGGAATTCCCCCAAGACCTGCTCATCGTCCTGCATAGTTTTTGTCATGGTCCCAAGTCACAAGCAGGGCCTTCAATGCCCAGAAACGGCCAAACACCTCCAGGACCCGCTTCTCCTGGGACCCGCTTGCTTCATGGCGATCAAGCGTCTCTTCCTCATTCTGGCGGCGCCGATGCGCGAACGCGGCCTCTTCTTGTTCTTCCTCTTCCTCCTCCTCCTCCTCCTCATGCCCTCCGCATCCTCATGCTCCTCCCCCCCTTCCCCTCCCGATGCCCTCCTCCTCCTCCTCCTTCTCCGCCCCCTTCTCCTCCCGATGCCCTCTTCTTCCCTCTCCTCCCCCTCCTCCTCCCCCTCCTCCTCCTCCTCCTCCTCCTCCTCCTCCTCCTCCTCCTCCTCCTCCTCCTCCTCCTCCTCCTCCTCCCTCCTCCATTCTGCCTCCTCCCTACTCCCTCCTCCTCCTCCTCCTCCTCCTCCTCCTTCTCTTCCTCCCTTCTCCCTTCTCCATTTTCCTCCTCCTCCTCCTCTTCCTCCTTCTCTTCCATCTCTTTTCCTCCTAAGATATTCCCTCCTTGTCGGGCCCCTTGACGTGTCGGTAGGGCGGGCCGGGCGTTTCGCCTGATAATTCCTCGCCATACATTTTCATCATGCTTGAATTTTGCAAACGTGGCTCTCGCCTCAACGCCGCGCACATTCGTCTTAACGTTTGTAGCAACTTCACGGGCTGTTTTCACCATGTAGCTCTCGCCTTCGCGCCACGCACATTCGTCTCAAACGTTTGCAACAGCTTCGGACAACGGGCGGTTCTTTTTCAAAATGTTGCTCTCGCCTTATCAAACACTTGCAACAGCTTCACGGATAGAGGGCGGGCTCTTTTCAAAACATTACTCTCGCCTTAGCGCCGCGCGCATTCGTCTTAAACATTTCCAGCAGCTTCATGGGTGGAGGGCGGTCGTTTCCAACATGTGGCTCTCGCCTAGCGCCGCGCACATTCGTTTCAGAAGTTGAGTTGTTTAAAGAATCTAGGGCGGGTCCTTTTTCCCTACCTAGGCTCTGCCTAGAAGGGTTCTTATTCTCTGTGCTTAAAGGGCCGGGCAATGGAAATCGCCCCGGGCGGCTCCCCCGGCATCCGCCCCGCGGTTCCCCCAGTTGCGCCCCCTGGGTTCACCCAGCTTAGCTTAGCTTAGCTAAGCTTAGCTTAGCTCATCTCATCTTAGCTTTGCCTAGCCTAGCTTAGCTTATCTTAGCTTATCTTAGCTTATCTTAGCTTACCTTAGCTTGGAGCAGCATTAGCACAGCACATCATAGCCAAGCATAGCATAGCATAGCATAGCATAACATAGCATAGCTCAGCATATCATAGCATAGCGCAACATAACATAACATATCATAGCATAGCATTGCTTAGCATAGCACAGCGCAGCATCGCATAGCATGGCACATCATAACATAGCACAGCATAGCATGGCGCAGCATATCATATCATATCATATCATAGCCTATCATATCATAGCATAGCATAGCGCAGCATAGCATAGCATAACATAGCGCAGCATAGCATAGCATAGCATAGCATAGCCTAGCATAACACAGCGCAGCCGAGCGTACCCTAGCATAGTATACCATAGCTGTCGGTGTAGATGTAGATGTTGCTTTCCTAAACGCTCCAACTCCTAGGTAAGGTCGCACTGGGATAATGAACATGTGGCGCTCGCCTCTGCGCCGCGCACATCCGCCTGAATGTTTGAAGGATTCGTATGGCCCATGTCCCAGGAAGGGTGGTGTGGCACAGTTTGGGAGCGTCGGGACGCAGTAGTCGCGTTGATTCGCAGTGTTGAAGTCCGGAAGGGTGTTCTGGAATGGGTCGTCAAGACGCAACAGTCACGTTGATCCGCAGCGTCTAAGTCCCAGGAATGGCGTTCGAGCACGGTTGAATATTCTCAGACAGTCATCTTCTAAGTGGCCACTTCCTGCCAGTGGACATGACGTCTTGTACGACCCTCGCGAAGAAACACTTGACGGATTGACTCAGCATCCCCTTCGCCCCCGTCCAAAGTTGGCTCTTGACGGGGCCGTTGCCGCACCAGGGGCTTCGATGCAACAGCGGCCGGCGGAGGGGAAGAGGGGGTGGGGGCGCCGTGGCCATGCAGTCCCATGAAGACTCCGAAGCAACCCCGAAGCGTTCCCTGAAACCCGTGGCCACGTTCAACTTTTTCTTCAGGAATGTGGCAGGGACCTGTGAAGAAGGGGCTTGGAGGGCGGTTGTATGCAACACGGCTGATGCGTCTTGGGCATGCACTGGTGCTCCTTCTCCTCCATGTCCTTCCAATCCTCCGTCATTCTTCCGTCCCCCTCCTCGCCCTCCTCATTCAGGGCGCGACGGTGGAAGCCTCAATAGGAGCAGGAAGAGAAACCGACTGAAACAAATTCGGATGGATCACGCTGCAAAGCAGAGACGCCAGGTTGACTCCAGACCACGGCAGTCAGCCCGAGCCACCAAACCTGCCCTCCCAACCTGGACGCGGTACGAGGTAACCAGGGTGGCGAGGGGGGCCCCAAAGACCGCGGGCAGGTCCTGCCTGTCACAGAACCGGCCGTGGCGATGAGGGAGCCTGTGAGGCACTCCGAAGGCCCCGCCTGGTCCCCGGAGCGCGTGCGAGGCAACTCTCGCCAGCCCTGCAGGCCTGCAGAAGGGGCCGGGGATACGGCGGGGCACCACGAGGAGCCGAGCTCGGCGGGGAGAACACCCCCAGGGGGAGGAGCTCGGCAAGGGCTGCGAAAGTACCACCACACTCAGCGTGCAGACAACAGAGCTCCAACGAGTGGGCGCTCAGGGTCTCTGGGGGGCGGCGCAACCTGCTGACGGCGCTCCCGCGCACGAGCCCCGAGAGACCCAGCCTCGTCCCGAGGGAACACAGGGGGAGGAGACGGAGGAGGAGGAGGAGGAGGAGGAGGAGGAGGAGGAGGAGGAGGAGGAGGAGGAGGAGGAGGAGGAGGAGAGAGGAGGAGGAGGAGGAGGAGGAGGAGGAGGAGGAGGAGGGGGGGGAGGAGACGGAGGAGGAGGAGGAGGAGGAGGAGGAGGAGGAGGAGGAGGAGGAGGAGGAGGAGGAGGAGGAGGAGGAGGAGGAGGAGGGGGAGGAGGAGGAGGAGGAGAGGAGGACGAGGAGGAGGAGGGGGAGGAGGGAGGAGGCGAAACTGATCCCAGCGGCCCCCAGCCCCCCCCCCCGAGGCCTGGCAGAGGTACTGCGGGAGCTGCGGCGCCGGCGCCTGCGCAGGCTCGCTCGCAGTCTGGGCCCCCCTCTTTCTCCTCCCTCTTTGCTCGTCATCATCCTCCTACCTACCTCCTTCCTCCCTCCTCCTGCTTCCTCCTCCTGCTTCCTCTCCCTCCTCCTTCTTCTCCATCCTTCCTCCTGCCTCCTCCCTCCTCCTTCTTCCCTCCTTCCTCCTCACCTCCTCCTCCTCCTTCTCCCTCCCTCATATCCTCCACTCATTCTGCTCCTCGTGCTCCTCACTCTCCTCCTTCCCTCCTCATCCCCTCCTCCTGCGTCGACCCCTTTCCCTTCCTCTCCCTTCCCTGCTTCCCTCCCTCCTCGCCCGCCGCCTCTAGCATCTCTCATGATCACTCTCTCCCTCTCTCTCTCTCTTTCTCTCTGGCTCGCCTGCTCCTCCATCCCTACACCTCACACATGCCCCCACCCGTTTCGGCACAAGAGTGCTCCAAGACGGCCCCCACATCTGTCCAGACGTTCCCAAGATGTTATTTGTTCAACAAGGCCTCGTGATGAGATGACGCCACTGGACTCACGCCAACCCAACAGCACTGCACTCAGCCAGTTCCCTATGAGTGAGGTTCGGCTGTGCGCACTTAGTCAGAATCGCCAGATTCTGCCTCCAGCACCGTTGGCTGGAGCTGTCGCGGCCTCTCTCCAGCTTCGGGGGGAGGGGCCGACGCACAGGAACCAGAAGGCAGGTGGTGCTCCTCAGGAGCGCCATCCTGCACGCAGGCTGGGGCTCGAGGCAGACAGTCCTCGACCTTCCACAAAACTCCAGGAGTCGAATGATTCACAGCGTGACATCTTCTGGCCCTGGACAGCTGGGTTTCTAGCACCACCGCCGAGAGTCCGCCATAGCTGGGACAACTCTCCTTTCGATTCGGGCAGGATTCGCCTTGCCTTTCTTGCTGGGTGGCCCGCATTGTCCCAATACATTCCTCGGATACACCGATGCTGTGCGCCCGCCCAAAACTTGAGTACGTGCGCTTCGTGCAGCACCATTCCCCCCACCCGAGCCTCGCCCTCCACCGCCCTGAAAATATCGTCGTCGGCAGGTTGGTCTGCCACCGCCACTCCGCTGCCCGCGGCATCCGCTGGGCAAGGAGACTTAGAAGCATCTAGCATGTCCTGCTTATAACCATACGCTGGCAGAGGCTACACAACAACTTATGCGAGGCCTGTGGAAGGAAAAGGTGGTCGCTGGGAAGGAACAGCGCTGTGGACTTGGAAGAGGTGCTTAAGACCTGCGGCAATTCAGACAGGCCATTGGCATGGAGTGGGTACTAAACTCGTCCTCCTTGCTGCTGTGCTGCTGCGTTGCTACTCTGCTGCGCTGGCGCGGTGGGGGGATTTGCGGCGGGCAACTGCCAGTCGATCGAAGACAAACCTGAGATCAGCGCAAGCTGTTTTGTTGACAACAGGAACACAAGTGGCAGAAGGACGTGTACACAACACACATAGACAACATGCCAGCGTCTGGAGTAATGGTGCTCTCGCCGCCACGTCGGCCACTCACTACGCGATGGGTGGTATCCGGACTGGCCCCCCCATTCCTCGCGACTCTCGCCCTGGCCACCGTCTCAGCTCGGAGAGGTCTTCCCGCCTCAGCGTCGGCCTTTGTCCTGGCTCGAGAGCTGATTGCTCGGGTCTGGGATGGCCGCGCTTCCAACAGGTTGTGCTGCCGTCGCCCCAGCTCGTGCCAAGCTTCCGAAATCGTAGCGGTGCCTTCGCCCTGGCGCTGGCCACTTGCTTCGAGTGCCTGGCCGATTCCGGCGTTGGCTCCTGTGCTTACGGGAGGGAGGGTGGGGGTGCGCGGGGCCCGATCATCTGCTCAGACCGTCCGCCTTGACACCTGCTCTTGCGCCCTCCTCTGGGTGCCGCTGCTGCTCCTCCACAGTCCATTACTCCTGCGTCCTCCTCGAAAACGAGGCCCAGGAACCAGAGCGCCACAGAACTTCCCCTCCAGCCGCTGCAGCTGGAGGGGCCCGACCACCCGAATCGGGGCCCGGCCCCCCAGGTTTGCCGACAGCCTGGCTGGCCTCTCTCCACGGTGAGAGGCGGGAGCGCCCAGAATCGAAGCGGCAAATCGGGAGAAGCCCGATCGGTGGAAATCGGAAAGCTAATAACGCCTCCATGGGAAAACCGAAATCCAGATCGGAATCCGAAGTCGAGCAGAAGCGGAATCGAAATCGATCGAGATCGAATCGAAACGAGTCGGAGGAGTCGAAATGAGCCCTGAGAGGTCCTCCAACCTCCCCGCCGCTGCTGCTCCCCCGCTCTTCTCTTCCTCCCCCCCTGTCGGAAGCAGGGCGGCCTGGTACGCCGAGGACTGCAGCGGCCTCGGCACGGCCTGCACGCGCTGCTGGGCCGCGTCCGCGGCGAATTGGCCTGCTGGCAGCGCGCACGCTGCGCTCCGCGACAGCCACAAAGGGGGGTTTCCTCTGGCTCCTCCTCCTCCTCCGCCTCCTCCTCCTCCTCCTCCTCCTCCAACTCCACCTCCTACCCAACCTCGTCCTCGTCTGTCTCCTCAAGCTGGCACCTGGTGCTTGAGACTTCCTTACAATCGGCATTCCTAAAGCTTGAACATTTTTACAATCAACTATGCAGGTGGATGGCAGGTCGTCTTCAACATGTGGCTGTCGCCGTAGCGCTCGCGCACATTCGTTTTGAAGCATGCAACTGTTATAGTAAGGAATGTTGGGGCTTTTTTTTTTTTTTTTTGTTTTTTTTTTTTTTTCTTCTCAAATATGTGCCTCTCGCCTTCGCAGCGTCGCGCGCACTCGCCTTAATCACATGCAAGAGCTGCAATACTCGAGAACCCATGGCTTTCAAGGTGGGACTCTCGCCTCAGCGCCGCGCGCGTTCGTTTTTTTGTTTTGTTTTGTTTTTTTTTGTAAAACAAAAACTTGCAACAGCCGGAAATATGGAGGCCAATTCGTTTCTCAAACTGCGCACATCCGTCTCATTCGTTTGCAGCTGTTCCGAGGACGGAGGACGGCTCCTATCTTCTGTGTGTGTGCGCACATACCTGCTCCTTTCCACAGTGGGGCCCTCGCTTGAGACTCCCTCCTACAGGATGCCCAACACGTCTGCGAGGATGGGGGGCGGCTCCTCTCCACAACGGGGCCCTCGCTGGACACTCCATTGAACCTGCTGCTCGAACCCTTGCGCAACCCAGGGATCGCTAGGAGGGCGCAGGCAAGTTCCGTTTCGAACAGGGGCTCCCGCAGGAATGGTACGCGCATGCGCAGGCCGCTCGTCTTTCGGGGGAGTCGCTTCCCGTAGTGAGAAGGGCTTGCACGGTCTTGTGAATACTTGAGGCGGGGATGTATATTGCAGCGTTGTTGGTGCATCCTGGCTTTACTCTGGTCCTCCTCCTCCTCCTCCTCCACCTCCTCCTCATCAGTCTCCCCTTCCTCCTCCGCCTAAGGGAAACGATAGGTGGACCAGCTCACAAGGGGAAAGATTGAGCTGGATTCGGCGATGCATCGCCGATAGATCGGCGATGTGCCCCCGATGGCAAAGCCGCAAGTTCTTGGGCGGGGTGGGCTATCGGGCCCCCGTTGGCGATCCGTGAGCGATCGGGGATCGATGCAATCCCCCCTGAGCCTATCCCCCCTAGCGTTGCCCCCAAATCTTCGGGTCATAGCTCGGCTCACCGGCGGCCGTTCGGGACGATCCGGGCACCCCTGGAACGCTCTCGACGAGGCGCAGCCCCTGGAAGGCATCCCGAGGCTGGTAAACCGCCGAGAGCCGACGAAAAGCACCCCCCCCCCCACCCACCACCCCCCAAGACAACTGCGCCCCGCCCCCTCCCCCCAAGCCAACCCCCGCCCCTAACGTAGCAGCCCCGCTCGCCTTCCTCCACGTCGATGGCCCCAGCTGCACCCGAGCAGGTCCCCCGCCCTCACCACCTTGGCCGTTGCTGAATGGGGTGGTGCTGCGATAAACAGGAGGGCGAAGAAACGCACACGCTTCGGGCACTTTGTGCCCCAGCGTGCCCCATTAGAGCCCCGATGGAGCCCGAAAAACGCACTTTTCTTCACCCTCTGCTCACCGCCCCCAGCTGCGCAACGCCCGACGACGTCAGCACGCCGCCGAGCCCCCGGCAGCGTATGGTGCGAGGGGCGGCCCGCCCGCCTGGCGGCCCCTCGCTGCCTCCTCCTGTCTCATCGCGCAGCCCTTGCCTCTGCAGCTTCCCGCCCCGTGGCCCTTGCCGCTGCAATTTCCCGCTGCCTCCTCTCTGCGTTAAGTAAAAATGAGCGGCGAGGCTGTTGCGTTCCCCGGTGCCTCCTCCTCCTCCTCCTCCTCCTCCTCCTCCTCTTCCTCCTCTTCCTCCTCCTCCTCCTCCTCCTCACCGACGCCCCGGCACCCGCCCACCTTTGGGGCGAGTGGCCACCGGGGCCTGGCGGCGTGTGAGATGTCCGCGACAACTAGAGCACTAAATTACGCTACCGAGGAACCCCACATACTTATATTATGGCTGGAGTGATGATAGCTGGAATGAAGCATGTGATGACGCCACCCAAGAGGAGAGGTGAAGAGGAGAAGCGCCGCGCCAGCCACACTTTGCGAGCCCGAAACAGATAGCGACCGCACCCCCAAAGCACCCCCTGCGGCGTCGAGGAAGTGCAGCGCCTGCCACACCAGCGCACCCCCTGTGGCGCCGAGAATGTGCCACGCCTGCCACGCTTTTCGGGCCCGACACGGATAGCGACCGCACCCCATGCGCACCCCCTGTGTCGAGGAAGGGCCACGCCTGCCACGCTTTGCGACGCCGCAACGGATAGGGAAACCACCCCCAGCGCACCCCATGTGGTGTCGAGGAAATGCCTCTTCCTCCTCCTCCACCGTCTCTTCCTCCTCTTCGGAGGAAGCTCCTCCTCCTCCTCCTCCTCCTCCTCCTCCTCCTCCTCGTCCCGCTGCCCCCCCGCTGCTCCCGCGCGGTGGGGCGGCGGCCGCTGCAATTCGCTGTTTGCTGTGAACCCTCGGCTTCGGCTTTCTCGGCCCCCAAGGGATGTGCAAGCTCCCTTTCTCTCTCTCTGCTTCTGCCCTCTCTCTGCTTCTGCCCTTGCTCCGCTCTGCTCTTTCCTTTTTTTGTCTCTCTCTCTCTCTCTACCCTGTTTGGGGCTCAAGCTTTTCTGGGTCAAGCTGGGGGTCGGCCTCAAATGGTCCGAGTCTGGGGACTCTGGAGGCCGGGGTGTGCGGGAACGGGCGCCAGGCGGGCGATGTCGTGCCGAGGGGCGCCTGGCTGCCAAGCCGAGGGCGCGCAACCCCTGCTGGCCGCCGCCGCTGCCCAGAAATGAAGGGCCGCCCGGTGTGTGGCAGCGGCGACCGCCCGCCGCGCAGCGTTTCTGGCCACCCACCTCCTCGCCTGACTGGCGACTGGGTTCCTCAGCGGCGCGCCGCTGGTCGGCCCCTGGGGCCTGCCCAGCCTCCACAGCCCTTGCCTCTGCAGCTTCCCGCCCCGTTGCCCTTGCCGCTGCAATTTCCCGCTGCCTGCTCTCTGCGTTAAGTAAAAATGAGCGGCGAGGCTGTTGCGTTCCCCGGTGCTTCCTCCTCCTCCTCCTCCTCCTCCTCCTCCTCCTCCTCTTCCTCCTCCCCCCCGCGGGGAGAGGGATGCCAATCAATCCCCCCCCCATCCCGCAGACCCAGAAGTCTCCTGGATCGGGGGCTGGGGAGCTTGGGTCCCCGAGTTGTGAGCCCCTGGGCGACGAGACCTGGTCCTGGAGAGCGGGGGGGGGGTCGGGGGCTGGGCCTTCGAAGCGGTCAAGAATCTCAGGGGCGCCTTCTTAACCCAGAGGGAAACAGCATGGCTCTCCAGGGACGGATGCTGGCTGCGCTACATCACTGACTGCGGGGGCGTGTGCTCCTGCGGCGCAGCCTGGCCCTCGTCGCGGGGCTCGAGCTCACGCTGTGCTTCGCGGGCGTTCGGGCTGGCGTCACGCACGGCCTGCGCGCGCTCTTCGCCCAGTGCAGCTGGTGCGTCTGGGTGCTCAGCCTTATCTGCAGCATCTTCAGGTGCCCTAAGCACTCGCCAAGCGAAGCAAAGGTTGACAAGCTTCTGCCGCCGGCGGCACCCCAGGCCGCCGCAGAGTCTCGGGCGGGGCCCAGCGCGGGCGCGACGACCATCGCCGAGTACTTCGCCAAGAAGATCAATAGGCGTGGCACAGGTCGGAGCCCAACGACGCCCCCGTTCGGATCGACGGGCACGTCGCCCGCTTCCGCGTCGACCGGCAGGCCGTGAATCGCACCGACCGGTCTGGCCTCTGGATCAACTACGTTGCGGTGAACGGGGCCAATTCCCGTGCTTTGCGATGGCGGCTCGAGCAAGCGGGCGGAGCCCGAGAGTCAGTCCATCTTGACCGCTCGAACGGCTGCAAGATCAAGGACTGGGACATTCACAGTCAGGAGTTCGCCGCCCTCGTGTCCAAGGCCATTGTCGACGTGGGCCTGCCTCCGCACTCATCGCGACCAGGTGTACCGGGCGACGCGGCTTAAGGACAGGTGGTCCTAATTGACCTGCTACGAGGAGGCCGTTGAGACCGCCGCAGGAGCACCTCTTTGTCTCGTCCATCTTGGAGGCGAGGCAGGCCGCGCGACAGCGGCTCCGCCCCCTCCTACACAGCCCGCAGAATTTCCTTGCAGGGCTCCGACGCCGGAACCGCGGCAGCCGCAGCCCAGGGCGCTCAGTCGCCCCCGGCGCAGCTGGCGCCCCGGGTGGTGGCCCAAGGACACTCCCATCGGCGAGGGTCGCCAGCCCCGCCCACGGGACTGAACACGGTGCGCTTCGAACCCCCGCCAGTCCCGCTGCACAACCGGAGCCTCGAGACAAAGTTCGTGGCCATGGCGGGTAAGGAGCGCGTCGTGGTGAAGGCCCGCGTCCGCTGGCCTGAGGACTCCCAGCGACTCCCAGCCGGTCATCTTTCCCTGGGAAATCAGGGGGGCGATCGGGCCAGACTTCGACCTCGAAGTCCCACGCTGCAAGGACGTGTACTTCAGCATCACCTCCGATGGGCTCTTGCCATCTCCGAAATTCAGCGGCGCGGGGAGCCTGCCAAAGAGCTACTTGGGAGAGCTCCTGCAGCGCCCACCTCTCGGCAGCCAGGGGCTCGGCATCCCAGTGACAGCTGCCGCAGTGCCGCGCCATATCTGGGAAGCTCGCACCCTGGCAGGGAGTGCCGGTCGGTGGGAAAGCTCGCCCCATCACGCAGCGCCAGCGGGAGCAGCTCCAAGCCCTGGACAGTAAGCTTGTCCAGTGGCATCCCGAGGGGACGGTGGCGGACGTGCGCTCTGCTCCCGACTCGGAGCTGGAAGCCATCAGTCAGAGCCTGGAACGCCACTGGATGCGCTGCGACCGCAGCAGCTCCCCCAAGCCACCCCAGGGGCGCCCCGACAGTGGGGGGCCCCGCTCTGCGTCAGCCGAGCGCTCCCCGCGCCGCTCGAGCCAATCCCGGAGCCCAGCGAAGGCATCTTCAGAATCTGGGGCCCCCAGCGACGAAGACGCTGGGGGGGGCTGGGGATCTACCTGGAGGCCCGCGCCAACGGCTCCGACGACGCGGGCGCCATCCAGAATGTGGCCGCGGGCTTCGACGAGGAGACGCACGTCATGTTGGGACATCGCTGTCGCTATGCCCAGCATTTGGCTGACGCGGCTGGCGGCGCGATGGGCCGCAACGTCTACCTCGGACACGTGCAGCGCCGAGGGCAGCAGCTCAAGGAAGGGACCGCCCAGGCGGCGGAGACAGCCTGCGCGCGGCAGCCAGGCTCCTGGAGCTCAACGTCCACGCACCTGCGGCAGCCCCCCCGCCGAAGGAGAGGGTCCACAGCAGCCAGCTCGGAGGCAGTCAATTGGTGCAGCCTCAGGCCGCGGTGCCTCCCCCCCTCCTGCCGCCCTTGGACCCGCCGGCGCCGCCGCCAGGCCTTGCGGAAGCCAAGGGTGCCCCAACCGTCGAGCATGAGGGGCAGCAACGATGGAAGACTGAGGAGGGGGACGCATGAACGGGGGCAATGAAGGCCTGAGCGAAACCGAACCGCGAAATCGGATCGGATCGGGAACGGATCGGATCGCCAACGAATCGCCCCGATTGAATCGAAATCGGATCCCCGCGTCTGGCTCTGGCTGGCTCTGGCCGATGACGCTGAATCGATCCAGATCGAGTTGAATCACAATCGCGAACCCAGCCCGCGAATCGAGTCGCACAGAATTGGATCGTAAGCGGCGCTGCAGGTTGCGAGAGATCGGCTGTGGCGCTTTACCCACAGCCTTCGCTCCTCCCGCTGTTGATCCTGATCAATTACCTCCGCCACCTGCTCCAGCCCTCCTGCTGCTGCTGCGACGCTGCGAACGAATCTGGCGTATAACAGGCGCTACACATCTCTATTTACCTCTGCCTGTCCGCTCAGCGAGGGGGCGACACGGCGCTGGGCAAGAGGAGGGATTGCGAGAGGATGCGCGCTCTTGTCTAGAAACGCCCATGCACACATGGTAACGAGGCGGTTCCATAAGCGGCGGGGAAACGAACGGAATCCTTCCTCCTTCCCTCGCGTACCCCGAGCCCCCCCAAAAAAGGGTCTCGGGCGAAACGCCACGCCCGACCCACCGACACGCCTGGTGGTACGACGGGGAGGAGGTATGAGCAACGAGGGGGGGCATGGCGACCCCGGTCCCCGATAGAGGGGCGTCCGACTGGACCCTCGGGGGTGCAGTTCCGAATGCCCCCCTCTTCTGAACGGCCAATGATTTTCAAGGGACGCCCGGTGACTGGGTGCGAAATCACATGCAAGGCAAGGAAGAAGGATGGTGGAGGAGGAGAGGGAGGATGAGGATGAGGATGAGGAGAAGGAGGAGGAGGAGGAGGAGGAGGAGGAGGAGGAGGAGGAGGAGGAGGAGAGGGAGGAGGAGGAATAATGAAGTGGAAGGTCACGGGGGGACAAAACCGGGGGGGGGGGGGAAACATTGACCTTGAATCGGCGACACAGCGCCGGTAGATCGGCGGAATGCCGCCGATAGCGAATCTGCACGCGTTGGGCGGTTTGGGCTATCAGGCCCCATCTCTATCAGGCCCCACACCGGCGATGAGTAGGCGATTGCGCCTCGATGCGCCCCCCCTGAACCAATCCCCCCCCCACGTTGCCCATGAGAGGGGGAAGGACGGCGTCCCAGTCCCCCTCCCGCCGAGCGGTGGGCGTTCGGCCCCCCGACCCCCAGGATTTGGCCGACAGACCGCCCGCGAAGCAGGGAAGAGGAGGGATGGTGGAATAGGAAGAGCACAGCAACGCAAGACGAAACAAAACTAAATTAGATCTAAATGGCTGCAAGAGCAAGCTTACGACACAAAGTGCCTTGCTGACGGGGAAGCACACGCACAAGTCTGGAGATTGAAGGATGAAGAGAGGGGATGATGATGATGATGATGATGATGATGATGATGATGATGATGATGATGATGATGATGAAGATGATGATGATGATGATGATGATGAGGAGGAGGAGGAGGAGGAGGAGGAGGAGGTGGAGGTGGAGGTGGAGGTGGATGAGTAGGAGTAGGAGGGGAGGAGGAGGAGGAGAGGAGGAGGGAGGAGGAGGAGGAGAGGAGGAGGAGGAGGAGGAGGAGGAGGAGGAGGAGGAGGGAGGAGGAGGAGGAGGAGAGAAGGGGGATAGAGGAGGAGGAGGAGGAGAGAAAGGGGAGGGATGGCGCCCCCGCCCCCCTCGAAGCGACCAGACGGCGTGTCGGCCTGCGTCCGCGCCTCCGCCGCAGCCGCCGCCGTTGCGGCCCCGGCGGTTCCGCGACCTGGCCGCGGCGGGGTGCGGCCGCGCCCGCGGGCGGCAGTCGCGGGGCGGGCGCGGCCGGGGGGACGGCCTCCTCCCTCTTTCCTTCTCCTCCTCCCTGCCAGGAACGTAGGAAGGCAGGACTCGGACGCTGGAGATCGGCATGTCCAGCGTCGGCGGAGGTGGGAGGAACGATATGGGAGACTGCCTGGGTCGTCTGCCACTTCAGCGAGCAGGAGGCCCGGGAGGTGCTCAGAGAGACCCACCACGAGTTCCCCGAGGATGCCCTCCCCATTCTGATGCAGGCCTGGCGAGCCCCCACCACAGATGCCCCACGGGACCCGCAACAGCCTAATTACAGCAGACGGTAAGTACTACATCTTTCGGGCTAACTGCAACGACGGTACTTCGACGATCCTTGTGCCGTATCGCATTCAGAGAGGCGAAATTATCATATTAAAACTTTTCTGCGGGCGGAGGCGCCAAAGTGATATCCAATGGCACTTGGCCGACATGCAAACCGCAACGGAGCTTACGATAACCGTGTTATCGATTGATATTACCATCGATCACATACGAGGGGATCTGACACGGGCGGAAACGATCAAATAGTAGTCCAACTACTTACGGTGCCACTGGGTTTGGGCTACTGGGGGGGGGGGACAACTCGCTGGAACGACGCTCCCCCATTGCGAACGCACCAACACATGTGGGGAGTTCCGTGGTGCACCAGCCGGCATCGTGAGCAACTTCGAGTGGGCAACCTCTTGATTTACACTATAACACAACTTTTAGCCGAGCACGTTCGTGCTGGCACATGTCGGTGGATGGAGCATCCACCACCAGCACTGTGGAGACCGCAGGCGCCGTCTAGTTTCCTGTGGATGCCCCTCAGAGCCCTACTGTCAGTACGATCACCTTCGACCAGTGTATGCATCAAGTTGGCGATCCTAGTTCCCACGGCAAAATAGCGACTCGAATACTCGCCCTCAGACTCCCAATTGTGTATGGCCTCTTGAAGACCACCAACAAGCGCTCCTGCAACCACGAAAATGGAGCACACTCTGTGTTGCCAGGAAAGCATGAGGACGGGACCTTCAAGACCAGCACCAAACATACCTACCCTGACTCAATGTGCAGAGCCATCGCGCAGGCCATGTTTGACGGAGTGCAAGCAGCGTGCCACAACTATGATGTTGACTACCCTCCGACAGTGCAGGACGAGGACTCTGATGATGATGCTGATGATAATGCTGATGACGATGCTGCTATCAGACAATTCTATGCGCCCTGGTCCGACAATGACGCCTTTGAAGAAGCGTTGCTGGCACCAAAGGGACAAACCGCAAGTCCGACCCTGAGAGGTGGAAGTGGAATCACCCCGCCCCTCCTCCCTTGGTCCCGCTCATGGCTCCTCAGGCTCTTGAGAAATTCCCTGAAAAAGGGGCCCCCGAGGATCCGCCGCTGCCCGCCCAGGAATCGCTCGACGCGGACGATGAGGCGGCCAGGCTCATGGGCCTGGAGGGCCCCCTTCTCCTCCCCTGCCTCCCCCCTCCATCATTCTCCTCCTCCTGTTCTCTTTCTCTTCCTGTTGGTTGCTTGACGCTCGGCCGCAAGCTTTGCCACCACGTCGAGCGCCCGCAATTCAAACACGCGTGCCTCGAGCGCACTGAGAGCACATGCCGGCCGCTGGGAACGCCTCCCCCTCTCCCCTTGGACGCTGGGAGCGCTGCCACCCTTCTTCTCTTCTGCCCTTCCTCCTCCTCCTCCTCCTCCTTCTTCTTCCGCTCCCGTCTCCCCTGTCCCACAGAGCGCTGCGGGGCGGAGGTGGTTTAGAAAGCACCTCCTCTCCCAACTCCCGTCTTCGCTTTCGGGGAGGTATTTGCCCCTTCCCCCCCCCCCCGCCCCTGGGTCCGAGCGGGGCGCCCCGCGACCAGTTAGACCGTCCAAGATGGCCCCCGAATGGCCTCAAAGAGCTTAAAATAACCCCCAAATGTGGCGGAAGTTACGCGGATGCGTGGGGAAAGCGTATCTTGGGTTTTTTTTTTTTTTTTTTTTTTTTTTTTTTTTTTTTTTTCCTCCAGCGCAGCTCGAACAAAAGGGCCTGCGGGTATGCTACGACTTGATGGCGTCCGAATCACTCAAAATCCCGAGCACACCGCCTGGCCGAGCGGGGGCGGGTGGTGAGCCCGTCCTCCTCGGATACCCCTCGGGTCACCACTCCCTCCAAGGTCCTAGAAAGTGAAAGTTAAAACCCGCAGTGCCTCGACGCGTAGTCGCGGAGGTCTAGACTCGCGCCCATGGCGCATCCAAACAATACTCGGCTCAAGGCCCTACTCGGACCACACCCCCTGTTCTTTCGGTCCCAAAGGCAGGAAACGGGTGCTGGTCGTCCACCAGGTGTGCTTGACCTGGCTCTGGGTGGCGACCGTCCTTCTGCGGTCGCCCTTCCTAGTCTTGAGCTTCACTGCTGGCTCCCTCGGCCCCTCGATCGGAACATGCTGTGGCCTCCTGCCGTCGGCAACGCGCGGCGGGGCACCCGTGTGGCACCAACTCGGCCTCATGCACGGGCAAAACCAGCAAGTCAAGGCCAGCCCTAGCAATGCAAGCAGGAGCCCTGGGCTCACGCCTGCCATCAGCACAGTCAGGCTCGCGTAGTAGCCCTCGGACGTGACTCCTGGCATGGCCACTGGAGTCAACGCGCTCCCGTCCACCTCCTGCTGTGCCTCGCACAGCTCGGTCGAGCTTCCCTTCGCCGCTGTGGGGAGTGACGCGGCCACTGCAAGCAACGCCTTCAGCGGGGTTGACTGGGCCTGGATGTCGGTCGGCATGGCCCCGACTCCTGCTACCCGAGAGGTCCCTGGCATGGGCGCCTCCTTCAATCCGCAGCTCTCGCGGGGCCACTCGAGGCGTGTCCTCGGCGACGACTTTGCGCCGAGATCCGCCAGGTTGTCGTTGCCAGCAACAGGCTCGATGATGATGATCTTCTTAGCCGCCAAGTGCTGGATCCAGAGCGTCTTCGTGGCAAGGTGCCTGATCCGCCCCGTGCCCTGACGCCTCGCCGGCGCTCTCGCACTCGAGCTGTCGCATCGCCAGCTCATGCGCACGCTGTAGACCAAGTCCCTCGCTGAAGCCTCGAGCTCCAGCGTGCCAGTCGGCTTCGCAACTGCTGAGGGACTGCGCGTCCTGGCGACAACTGACCCCGAGCATTGGACACCCGCGCGCAATGATGTGCACGCTGGTCTGACTCTTCCGCTCCTTCGTGTCGCCTGCCCAGTCGGAGTTGGTCCACGCGACCAGGTCAACGATGTCCCGCGGCGTGGTAGGCTTGGCCATCCTCGCGCCCAGGTCCCTCGTGCCCTTCGGGTGCCTTGCCGGCCTCTCGAGGGCTCGCATGTCCGCCTCGCGGGGCGATGAGATGCACAAGGTCAAGTAGTTGATGTCGAACTGAGCATCTTCACGGTCATGCAGGTAGAACAGCAGGCACATGGTCGCGCTCCTGAACAGCTTAGCCTCGTCTGGGCCGAGGTCGGGCGCGTCGTCCCTGCCTGTCCCATGTGCCTCCACCCCTGGGGTGGCGCGCGGGTTGCCCTCCTCAAGTCCTAGCGCCTCCAGCGCCTTCGTGAGATACTTCTCGTTGGGCTGAATGTAAGGAGCGTTGGCCTCTCGCGCGCGCCGCCTCTAGGGGAACTTGGAGTCGGCACCGTCGCCCTGTGGGCCTGGCCACTTCACCTGGATGTCACGGCCCAGGTCCAGCGCGAAGTCGGACCCTGCGACTCCAGGCGCCGTGCCGTGCATGTCGTCCATGTGCAGCTCCACCAGACATGGGAGCTCGGCGTGCAAGAAGAACTGGGGCGCGGTCGGTGACCGTTCGAAGCCTCTGGCCATGAGCTGCTCCGCGGCGAACTCGACCCAGTGCTTCCCGCTAGCGCGCCGTCCTGGCAACTGCTTCGCGAGCTGCCAAACGTAGTCCTCAGTGTCGCCCTTCGCGCGGCACTCTTCCAGGGTCTCAGGTGGGCACTCGACCCGCGCGTCCTCCTCCTCGGGGACGTGGTAGTGCGCGTCCTCCGTGTCTACAGTGAAGATGGGCCATTCGTGCTTCAGTGTCACATAGTCCACCACTCGGCTGTCAGCCATGCTGCTCCCTGGCGTGAAGAGGTCGTCGCGGTACTCCTGCCACGTGAACTCTCGCGCGACGTACCTTGACTTAGCGATCCTGCATCCGGGGTTCGCGTCCCGCTTGTAGACATGGTCCCAGCGGGCGCTGATCCTCTTGCCAGCGGCCTCGCTCCGCTTGACGAGCTTGCCCACCCTGTGCTGTTTCAGGCCGTCAAGGGCCCGTTTGGTGGAAGCCTCGATCAACCGCGAGTCCGACGCATCATGGGGATCAGGGACATCCGTGTCCCTGAGGATCTGCAGGAAGTCAGGGCGAACGTCATCGCAATGCTCTGCCACTACTCCGCTCAATCGGGACCTCGCAAGAGTGCCTCGGTTGTCACCCTCCTCCGCGGGTCGCTTCTGCGATCGACCTATCGGGGGTGTCTGCGGGGGTGCGCTTGCGGGTGCTCCGGCTCTCGGCGTTGTGGGGGTGTCATCCCCGGCGCTCCCTCCAGTCGACGGCTGCGTGGCTGGCTCCGCGCGCCTGTCCCCAGCAGGCGCCTCGGCGCCGCCCGCCCCGCCGTGGGCGCGCCCGCCTGGGTTGCTGGCCCGCCGCCATGGGCGGCCTCAGTGGCCTGGGCAGTAACGTTCGGGTCTGGCTGGCTCTCAGCTGCCTCTTGCGCCGCCAGGTCGGCGTCCGCAGCGGCAGGGGGCGGTGCGATAGGCTCGATCCCGCGCGGGACAGTGCCTTGCCCTCGGCGCTGCCGCGGCATGTGCGTGATCGCCGCCACGGCGGTGCGGTTGAATCTCCGCTCTTCGGGCAGCCTCTTGACGATCCTCGTCGTGACGCGCTCGCCCGCCTCGAGGGCGCATATGTGCCCGTCGGTGTCGTAGCTCTTCCCGAGCCAGACTGCCCTCGCAAAGCCCATGTCACCCTTGTGGTGCACCTTGCCTCTCGCCCTGCGGTTCTTGCCCCTGGGTAGGCGCGCCAGGGCGGACTCCCCCGGTGAGGCCATCTCCCTGATATAGGCGTGGCCGTAGACGTCCTCGTGTGCCGTGCGACCGCTCGCCTTGATCCTCAGGTTGGTGCATGCCCAGCCCGCGTGGCGTTGCAACCACTTGTGCATGGCCGTGCCCGGTCGGACCCTGGCCCCCAGTCGTGCCTCCAGCGCGCCCCTGCTCGTGCGGAACTGCGCCTGGATGATGCCATTGGCACTCTCAGAGGGGTTCGACTGTTAGCTGAACGTAGGCGCAGGCCTCGCGACCACACGGTTGGGCAGCTCCGCCTCGACCATGTTGGCCAGGTCCATCATGGCGTCCTCGTGGTCTGGCCTTAGGATGACCTTCTGATGGAAAAGGTTCTTGATGAACGCCACCGTGGCTGCCACCGTGTAGGGATCAGCACGTCGGCCAGGCTTCGGGACACTGCGCATGGCGCATGTGTCTGCGTCCGCGACCACCAGCGCCACTTCCTCGTCCTGTCTCGGTGGTGGGGCTCGCCTCCACGGCGTCGGCTGCCTCGCCCTGGGAGAATGCCAGGTCGAGCCCGATCGCGGGGGGGCTTTCCACCTCCGCGTCCAGCAACTCGTGGGGCCTGTCGCGCCCGCGTCCCATCTGACAGTGCTCACGCCAGCGCCTCGGTGGGCAGTGCTGGTTTTCCTTGTGGCGCTGTCTCTCCTCTGGCGTCGGCTCGCGGACGTCGGGGAACGTGGTCGGTTCCACCGCCTGTCCCGACTCCGCCTGGCGCCTCATCTCCTCGCGCCTCAGCTCGCGGAAATCATCCGTCGCCGCCCTCGCCTTGCGTCTGCCCTCGTACTCGACGAGCCGTGCCCAGCGCTGAGACTTGGTCCCGTAGTACGGGGCGCAGATCTCCTTGAAGCGCTGCTGCGTGGCGTCGATCCTCGAGCTCGGCCCGGGCCCCTCGAGGTATGACCGCCCCGGCGGCTGTGCCGCCGCAGGTGCCTCCTGGCCCTGCGTGGGCGCCGCCGCCTCCTGTGCCTGTGGCGGCGCCGCCGCCGCCTGCGCCTGCGGTGCCGCGGCTCCTGCCTCTGGGGGCGCTGGGTCACGCGACCCTCGTGCTTCCGGGCGCGGCGGGGGATCCTCTCCTCGCACCGTCCCCCGCGGAGTTCCTGTGGCGCCAGCTGCGGCGACCCTGGCGGGGCAGGCTGCGAGCTTGGCCCCGTCCATCGTGTCGTGGATCTGCGCGGCGAGGTAGAGCGAATTGCCGACTAGTTTCATGTCCGCCCGCTCGCCCGTCATGAGATTCACGGCGTGCGGGTCGCTCTCCTCGAGCACAAACCTGAACTGCTCGCGCGCCGGCTTCCCGAGGCTGAGCGCCGCGTCCTGAGGGGCGAGGTCGTGGCTCACTCTGAGGTTCCCCAAGCGTGGGGCTGGCGACCCTTCTCGCCACCGACGACCGTCGGGATCCTGCGGGGCCCCTCGGTGCCAAGCCGCTGGCCGCTCACCGTAGTAAGCATGGGCGCAGCGGGGCCCCCCTGAACCGTTGGATGCTGTGCTCCGAACGCCTGGCCGCAGAGATGCTCGTCGCTGCCGCTGTCTGCGAGGACGAGCCCTCTGCGCTCCTCCTTGCGGCGGCCTCCGACCGAGCTCCCGGCTCCAAAGACCCAGCCGACCTCGTCGCCGTCGGATCCTGCAGCCGCCGCGCTCGCGGTCCTTTGGCCGTCAGCGCCCGCGGGGGTCTGCTGGGCTGCGGCCGCCTGCGGGGGCGCCGCCGACGGCGCCCGTGGCTTGCCGGCCGCCTTGTGCCAGCAGGCCTTCTCCTTGTGCCCCTGCTTCTGGCGCCAGTTGCAGGTTCCCTCGGACTTGGCGGGGTGGCTGCCCTGGAGCTTGTCATTCTTGACTGCCTTCTTGCTGCCATTTCCGCCCTTGTCGCCCTTGTCGCTCATCTTGTCGCCCTCGCCGCCTCCCGACTTGTCGCCCTTGCGCTTGGGCCGAGGCTGTCGCGGCAGGGCATGGCCCGAGATCGCTCCAATCTCCATCGGCGCCGCGCCTTAATCCACCGTGCCGCTAGCTGCGAAGACCTGTCCCGACGCCATCCACTTTCTCAGGCGGGCCCTCAGCGCCATATGCGAGACCTTGGCGGCCGTCGGAGCATTGCGTAGCACTGTCTTGTGCGGCTCGGGGCTGTGGGCGAGCAGCGTGGCGATGCGAAACTCATCGCCGAAGTCCTTTCCCGCCTGCCCTGCATGACGTACCTCGCCACGTCGTTGTCCCAGTCAACGAGCTGGTCAGCGAACGGCTTCTGGTCGCCGCGCCTGGGGTTGAGCAGGCCGCTGAGCATGGCCGCGAACCTCGCCCCAGGCTCGTGCTCGTTCTTGATCGCTCGCCAGGCTACGAAGCCCTCGTGCCTGCCCGCGAGCGTCACCATCGCCGGCGCCTTGCGCTGGGTCTTGGTGATCAGCATGGCATGCAGCAGCCTGCTCGTCGCTGCAGCGCGCTCGCCCATGCCGACGTTGTCCACCGCGAGCGCTGGCTGGGCCTCAACGTTATCGATGAGGTCATCCCAGCCCATCAGCGCGAAGAACGCGTGGGCCTTGATGGGCCAGCTGGGCCAGTCCTCATCTCTACCACTGAACTCTGGCAGCTGGATGTCGCCTCTGCAATCCACCAACTGCTCTCTGGGCGCCGCTGCCATGGGCAACGCACGTCCTCAATCTTCCCGTGGATCTGTTCCGCGTAGTTCACCGCAGAACCACGCTCCGCGCTACCATGGCGGAAGTCACGCGGATGCGCGGGGAAAGCGTATCTTTGGGCTCTTTTCCCTCCAACGCAGCTCGAACAAAAGGGCCTGCGGGTATGCTACGAATTCATGGCGTCCGAATCACTCAAGATCCCGAGCAAAATTGCCTAATATAGCCTAAGAACGCCCAGAAGAGCCTAAACCAGTCTGAGATTGCCTCCGCGATGCCTCCACGATGCCCCAAGACCCCCCACAAGACGGCTCCAAGTGCGCACGGAGCCTTCCCAGGATGCCCCCCAAGAGGCCAAAATCCATAAACACACTGGGAACATCAACGATGCTTGCCCTCTCGCCATTTCGCTTCCGAGGGGCCCCCGAAACCCCAAAATGGTCTCAAGACGTCCCCAAAAACGCTCCAATAACGTCGTCAGAAAGACCCGATAAACAACTTCTCCGACTCAAGAGGGGCGGTCCTACTCGGCGCCGTCCTTCATGCTCGAACCGAACATCACATAACAACACATAGTTATATACAATTTGGCATCTCGGGCGCATCCGTGGGATGCTTTGGGGCCAGTGTGGCTACAAAATGGCTTCCGACCACGACACCAAAACCAAATACACCACCATTCAACATGAACGGGCCCCGCCGTGCCGTCAAACACTCATTTGAAAATGCCGGGACGTGCCCAACCCCTTCTCCACGCGAAGCGACTTTTTAGATGAACGCCCCACTGACCAACAGCACATTGCGAGATATGCGACAGTTTGACATGTTTCGGCGGACAATGGCGGGCCACGCGCGCCGTGCACTTACGCAACTCAGATATTAAAACGGACGGCGACGACAAGCACGACAAGGAACACAAAACGGGGGACAGGCATGGAGGATGAAGAAGAGGGGGGAAGAGTACAAAGAGGATGGGAACGGAATTTGCAGACATACGGATGAGAGTAGCAGCGCCATGCGCTGCATCTGCTCGGTTCACCCCTGCTGCTTTTGAGGGCGACAAGCACACAAGGAGGGGGAAAGTTTACCACTGAGGACAACGCCATGCGCTGCGTGACGCTCCAGCGCTCTGCGCTCTGTGATGCAACAGCGCCGAGCGCTCATTGGGGGGATGTAAGCACGCGCCTGCGCCCCGCCGTGCCCCACAAAAGCCCACGACAAATGGCTCGCGTTGCCCTGCATTCCGGCGTGCCTTCCAGGAACCCACGAAAATGGTGACAATTGCGCAGTTCGCAACCCCCGACGAAACCGCACGGATCTGTGTGGCCTTGCACTCCGCCGTTCCTCACAAGAACGCACGAACATGACTACAATTGCGCAATTCGCAACTCCCGAAGGAGCCGCGAGGTCTCAAAATGATCCGCGTTGCCCTGCATTCCGCTGTGCCTACCAGGGGCCCTACGAGAGTGGCGACAATTGTGCAGATCGCAGATCCCCACGGAGCGACGAGGGCTCTCAAACTGATCAGCATTGCCCTGCACTCCGCCGTGCCTCACAAGAACCCAAGATAAAGGCGACAACTGCGCTCGACGGGACCGCGAGGTCTCAAACTGATCCGCGTTGCCCTGCATTCCGCCGTGCCTCCCAGGAGCCCACGAGACTGGCGACAATTGCGCAATTCGCAGTCCCCAAGGGAACTGCAAGGTCTCAAACTGATCCGCGTTGCCCTGCACTCCGCCGTGCCTCCCAGGGGCCCACAAAACGTGGAAGGACAAGAAGGACACACCTGACACGTGCACTCCAAGTGTCTGCTCACGTGCTCATCCGATGTTTCTTGTTGGAAACAGTGTCACTGTGTAGCCCCAATTCTCTGGCAACAAACGTGTGCGGCCCGATCAAGTCAACATGTGCACGTTTCCCCCGAACTTCCCTGACATGGGCCACTTCTCTGCCTGATCAACCTTCTGCGCTTGCTGCCGTGACTACTGCAGTCTCTGCCCGCTTTCCATTCCTCCAACACCTTTCGTTGCCCCTGCAGCAGGCAATCGAAGCACGAATCAAGCGGTGACTTCGAGCCAGTGCTGGAAGTCATCTTCGGCGCGTCCTGCAAACAAACTGTCATTTACAGATGCTTAACGCAACCTACTACATGCAACCTATCGCGCCTCCTGGAACAGCTTCAAATATTTTGCATTCGCCGCGGTCCCTAATCCGATCAGGACGGCCATCCCAATTAGGATGAACATGTTGGATGAAAGCAAGATGAAGGCTAGCAATTGCTTGCCATATGAACGGCAGGCGTAATATTATAATCAGCTTACGTCGAGCAAAACAGTGAAGCACACTGCCACTTGCTACTGCTTTGTGATGAAGCTGATTGACTCCCACTGTTGTGCGTGTGGATGCTAATGGTGAAACTACAGATACCACACTTCCGTACACCGCAAACAGCGCGCTGCATCACGGTGCACTGCTGTATTTCGTTTCTTGATGTGGACTGAGTTGCTTTGTAGTACAATGCCTTACAATCGAATCGCAATGCAATGTATGCGTTGCATTGCAGCAGCCCGCTCTAAATCCCACCAACCCTCTGGGCGTAGGTGGTCTGACGATAATCTACTTCCTTTGTCCAGAACTCCTCTTCCCTTCGATGAGTACCCTGTCCCCCCCAAAACAAACAAACCTTACAGAGGATACCCTCCCCCCATTCCTGATTTGGTTTCTGAGGGGGGGCAAGCGATGTGTCAGGGGGTCCGTTGTCGCCTAAGATGGCTCCACCAGGGCCCCCGATGCTCCAAGATGACCCCCAAGATGGCTCAAGATAACCAAAGATACTTCAATCTGGCTGCTGACATCTCTCCGAGGGGCTCCAAGAGGACCACAAGACGGCCCCATGCGCTACCCGAGCCCCAAAGCTACCCAAGGCCCAATTCCTAAACACAGCAAACCACTATGGAAATTCAATGATTTGTTGTCTTCTCGCATTTGTCACTTCTGATGCGGTTCTTAAGGCCTCACAGTGGCCAACGTGAGCCCTCACTGGGCCCAAGAGGCGATGCTGACGGCCCCAGGGAGAGGGGCTAACATATGCGACTATATGGGGCCCCCCTTTTGATCGATGGCCTCCTAGCTGGCTCCCAGAGGCCCTCATGTGCTCTCAAGAGGGCCCCACGAGAGCCCAAGAGGGCCCCAAGACCCTCCAACAAAACACCACAAAGACCCCAAAACCCACCAAAAGAGCCTGAACAAGGCACCAAGAGCGTTCTCATTCTCGTTGCCCTCCATGGCTTTTCCTTACGAATGGCTCCTCCCTGTCGCACCCCGAGGCCAGCCGTTAGGGCGGGCCAGGCGTTTCGCCTGAGACTTCCTTACCATGTGTGGTCCTGAAACTTTGTATGTGCAACAGCTTCGCCGAGGGAAGGCGTGTGGTTTTCAATATGTGGCTGTCGCGTTAGCGCCGCGCACATCCATCTCAAACACTGCAGGAACTTCGCGGATTGGATACATGTCGTTTTGAACATGTGGCTCTCGCCTTAGCGCCGCGCGCATTCGTCTTCATCTATTGCCAGAATTTCGAAGCTGGCGGGCGGGTCGTTTCAGCATGTTGCTCTCGTCTTAGCGCCGCTGTTATGAAACTTTGCAACAATGTGACGGATGGAGAAGTGTCTCCTTTTTCAAAATGTGGCTCTCGCTTTAGCGCCGCGAACATCCGTTGTAACAGTTTGCAACAATTCCAAATGTTCTCATGGTTAACGTCCCGGAAACTGTATTGTCGTACGATGTCGGACTGTCAGGGCGCAACACTTATGTTGATTCGTAGTGTTGAAGTTCTAGAACAAGTGTTCTGGCACGTTTCCAAAATCATCCTGACGCAACAGTAACAGCGGCGTTGAGTTCCCAGGAATGGTGTCCTGGCACACTTCAAGATTTCAAACGGTTGTTTTCAAACGGGGCACTTCCTTCAGAAAAAGTGTACCCTTGTAAAGGGGCTGTGAAGATGGAGCTTGGCGGGAGGGTGTATTGCCACATCTTTTATGAATCATGGGTTTACGCTGGTCCTCCTCCTCCTCCTCCTCAATTCCTCTTAGTTGTCCTCGATATCGTCCTTGTTTTAGTTTTCGTCGTCAACATCCTCCTCCTCCTCGTTCTCCTCGTTGTCCTCTTTCCCCCTCTCCTTCTCGTCTTCCTCCTCGTCCTCCTCGTCCTCATCATCCTCGTTCTTGCCCAATCGTCCTCCTCGTCCGCCTCCTCCTCCTCCTCGTTGTCCCCAAGAGGGTCCCGAGAGAACCCCCAAAAAACCCAAGAGGGTACGAAGACGTTTCACCATTGTTGGCCTCGCTGCTTCACGATCTGCTTACCTACTGTGATTATGATGCGTTTTAGCGCAATGGCAAATAAACCCTAGAGGTCAAACGGCAGCGAATGGTGCATACACGCACGTGACACGTGCACTATCTCACATCCGTGAAACTTTATCACGAGCTAGCCGGCAGACCGCGCAGTACCGCTGGTCTCAGTCAGCCTCTAGGGGCAGTGAAAGGAGTATTCCCATGCTGGGCTTACTCAAGTCAAAGGCAGCCAGGACTCAGCCACTCACTTCCCCGATGGGATAGCATTCATCCTGGCCCTCCCCAGTTGCTTCTTGACTTTTTCTATATATATATATAAAGAAGGTAGATTGAGGGTTTGGAGTTACGTCATACGAACTTGTACGTAATATTTTAGCAAGGAAATCTGTCGACATATTCTTTGTCAGACAATCAACAGCCATAAAACGTGTACCGATCCATCGGATCTCATCACAAAATGTGCGTGGATGTAAAACCTCTACGTCTTCCGTTCCATTAGTCCAACTATCCTGTCTTAAACTACTCAAGTCGATACTCAAGCGCTCGTCTTCTGTATTACCCGTAGTTGGCGCTATGAGATGTTCTTCCAAGCTTTTGCAATCCGTCATCTATAAGTGTCTCATAGACATGGCTGATTTGTCTTCCCAGTTGGTTGGCAGCTTCTTTCCTGCGCCAAGCATCCCCCGCGCATCTGCGATGGCGGCGCGAATGCGTGCACCAGATTCAACACCCCATGAACAAGCCAGGGTCTCTCCTTGTAGTGTAGATGTACGTGCTCGTTTGGTAACTCTACTAGACATACATATAGGGTAAATCTGATCACTGTTCCCCTCGATGAATCCAGGCCCTGCGAGTCTATTGAACCTAGCCCTCTGTGGCCTGAAAAGGCTCGATTCTACCCTTGGCTATGTCTGCTTCTCCTGCCCAGCTGGCGTCAGTGACAGTACGTACTATCATATCTTGATTCCACTTAACAGCTCCACCTTAGAGTAGTAACCCGCAGTCAGCGGACCGAGTTGCTTCTTCTAATGCACGGTTGGCTTCTTTGATATGAAATATCTTAGCGTGACGCACTGCAGTCTGCAGTCTGCTCGCGCGATACAGTAGCTCAGGCTTGCACTGACGTGTGACCCATGGCGAAGCACCTGCGACCGATCTAAGCTGTGCTGTCTCGCCCTCATTGCGCGTTCTCGTGACGGGGCTGTCTTTAGGATCGGATGCAGCATCGGTCTTCTCAATATTGCCCCTGGTCGTGATACTCGCCGCGAAATATCCATCTTGAACATCTTCTAAACCGCGATAACGGAAATTATCCGACTTGATCTCGCGAGTATCAAACTCTGCTAATACCGAATCGATGACTCTCTGACTTTCATCATCTGCAGCCCACAGTATGTCATCCACGCGTGTAGCTACACGTGATTTCGTTCTTGTCATTGTGAATGCTGAACAAAGCAGGTATGGTATGATTCTCCCTGAGACCATGAGCTTCAAACCTTTTGTGCATTTTCTTCCACAAACCTCGTCCTGCGTCGCGCGTGCCATAGACTGGCGTGCGCGCGATCAGTGCTCCGCCGTCCGGTGCTCCTTCGAGTCCGTCGGAGGGCGGCTTGAGCAGCGTGAGGCGGTCGAGTTCCTGCCCCTGGAAGTGCGCAGATGTAATGTCGGCGCACTTGAGCGTCTTCTTCGCGCTGGCAGCCCATGGTACTATCAACCTTAGCCCTTCGAATTCGCATGTTGATGAATCCGCGCGGATGCCCGACGACTCTTCCAAATCTCCCCGTGCGGCGAATTTGCCCTTGTACTGCGGTGCAACCGGAGGTCCACCCGGTCTACGGAGATGTTCAAGCTTGTCAATCTCAGTCCATTGCGTAGGTACCATGCGGTATCCTTCGTCGAGGAGATTTTGCAGTTCCACGGAGTCAATATGCACGGCGGCGTTGCGCATCCGCCATTTTCGGCATTCGTCTTGTCTTGCCAACCGTAAACCGCTGTTCACGTACTCAGATTCCCGATGGTATACCATATTCTTTGCACTCTTTAGCTTCTTCTTAGATTGCGGCTTATGAACGGTGCGTTCATTGGAGAATCCGACAAGCGATTAATGTGGCTTAACAGCGAATGAAGCTTCTCTACGAGCTAGAACATCCATGCCAGGCCCTGATGTTCCGGCCCTGCGCATGGCCTCAAGAAGTGGGTTCGCTGGTTCGGGAGCTGGCTCCGAGACAGAATCGGAAACCCCTTCCGTGCTACCGTCGGCATTCTCGACTCTTCCGCGCATCACTTCGTTGCGACTCTGTATGCCGTGCGGGGCGTCGTCTAGTAGCGACCTCTGAAGAGGCGTTCGAGTCACCTGTGACGACCTCGACGCGGGCGGCGCAGGAGCGATCATTCCATCTGACAGTTCATCTTCCATTTGGCGAACTTCTCCCTCTATGAACTCGGGGTCATCTGGGATCCCTGGCAGCTCTTCCGTCGCCATAGGATGTTCTTCCAGGGGGCGCTCTTGCGCCCGTGGTTCTGGCAGCTCGCGTCGCTCGTCCACGAATGACTGCTGTTGCCCGTTTGGAGGTGCATGCCCCTCAACGCCGCCGTCATGGTGCTTAGAAAGATATTGGCAAGCCAACGCTTCCACCGCTGTGCGCGGTCGAAGCCTGTCGACAGCCACGCAGACAGGTGCGCCCTCTGTGATAACCCATGCGTTCTTGCCGCCGAATCCAACGATGCGAGAACAAGTGCCCCACTTAGCGGTGACCTCGCCGTCGCTCGGCCTCCTGCGAAAGCATGCTACATCAGCGACCTGATATTCTCCAGCTAGTGGCGTTGCCTTTCGGAAGGCGGCCCTTGCCGTCCCACTCCCGACGTCGTGCTCTGCGAATGCTTTTCTGGCATGCGCCTGGATCGCAGCCCGGCGAGAAAACTCGTCGGCTCCGTCCCCTGCAATGTTCGCAAGCACTCCTATGTCGAAAGCTTCCTCGTCGTCGAATTGACTCCCTGGGACACGGGGCATCTTTCCGAA